TTTATTCTGCCTGCAAGATGTGCTGGTGGAATTATGGTGCAGAACTTGTGGCAATGGCCAACCAATGACTGGTCCAACTTGAGGCTCAAGCTATGATGGGGAGCCCATGCCAAATACAAATACTGCCTGGACAGCCAGGAACCACAGGCTGGATAGCCCTGGGAGCTAGGATGGAACCAAACATGACTGGCAAAAAGAAAATAATGTCTGCTATTCTCATAGAGAGCCTAACCCAATCACTATCAGAGAGGTTTCATCTAACAGCTGATGGTAACAGACAGAGACAGAACCAAATATGAGGTGGAGCCAGGGGAACCCTGAGGAAGAAGTGGAGAAAGGATTATAGGAGCCAGAGGGGTCAAGGACACACCCGAAGAACCAACTAAGCAGGGTTCATAGGGGCTCACATAGACTGAAGCATCAATCACAGAGCCTAGATGGGTCTGAGCTAGGTCCTCTGAGTATTATCTTACTGTTGTATAGCTTGGTATTCCTGTGGAACTCCTAACAGTGGAACTCCTAACTGACTCTTTTGCATGCTCTTGGGACCCTTTTCTCTCCTACTGAGTTACATAGTCCAGCCTGGATATGGGGATTTGTGCCTAGTCTTATTGGAGCTTGATATGCCATGTTCAGTTGATATCTCTTGGAGGGCAAGGATATCTGAAGGGAAACAAATGAAGAGTAGATCTGAGGTGAGAGGGGAGGTGGTGAGTAAATAGATAAATAAAATCAGGTTTGGATGTTAGCCTGTGCGGCATTGTCTTAATTAATGATGGATGGGGAAATATTCTGTGTGGTACCACCCCTGGACAGGTGGTCCTGATGCTATAAGAAAGCAGACTAAGCAACCATGAAGAGCAAGCCAGTAAGCAGCACCTCTCCATGACTTCTCTATAAGCTCCTGCCTGCAGGGTCCTGCTTTGTTTGACTTTCTGCTCTGATTACTTTCTGTGATAAATAGTGATGTGGAATCATAAGCAAAATAAAACCCTTTTTCTCAAAGTAGCTTTTAGTCACGGTGCTTCATTACAGCACTAGAAACCCTCACTAAGACTCAGATAGTCCTTACCAGGGATTTTGGCTGAAATCTTGAGGTGCCTGTATTAGTCAGGGTTCTCTGTATAAGTGAATGGGAGAAGTGTACATAGGAAGAGCTTTGTTTTAAGCTCTTAACTCACATGACTGTGGAGACTGGCAAGTCCAAATGTGGAGCTGGTGAGCTGGAGACCCAGGCAAAAGGCCATGTGCTGCAGATTCTTTCTGCCTGGGGAAGTCCATCTCCCATCCATTCATGTGTGTCTTCATCTGATTGGATAAGGCCCGCCCACATTAGAAAAGTTTCCTGCTTTACTAAAAGTCTGCCAATGAAAATTTAATCTCATCCAGAGCACCATGTCCCAGCCAAGTTGACACATAAAATAAACATCCTGAAACTCAGGACTAGTAGCAAAGGGCCACTATCACCCTTAACTTACCCTATATGGAGAGGTTTTGTACAGCACAGCCAGCAGCAGAGGGCTAGAGGCCTGATGCTAGCCCTCCCTTGCCAGCCTCATGAAGGGGGATGTCCTTCCGTATGCTTTGAATATATGTTTCTCTCATTGGTTGATGAATAAAACTGCTTCAGCCTATGGACAGGCAGTATTTAGCCAGGTGAGAATCTAAACAGGGTTAGAGAAAGGTAGTAGGGAGAGCCAGGGAGATGCCATGTAGCTGCCAAGGAAGTAAAAGGTCCAGGCATCACTGGTAATAAGCCAAGACCATGTGGAGATACACAGATTAATACAAGTGGGTTAATAATTAAGAGAGAGAGAGAGATCTGGCCAATAAGAAGCTTGAGTCATTGACCCAACAGTTTATAATTAATAGAAGCCTCTATGTGTTTATTTGGTACTGAGTGGCTGTGGCACTGGGCAGGACAGAAACTTCCATTTTATAGCCTTCCTCCGAGGTGCCACCTGAGCAAGCTACCCAGACCCTCACCCGACTTGCATTTGCAGAACTGATGAATGTGGCTATACTATCCCGAGCCTACGCCATGGGATGGGACACCTCTGTGTTCAACCTTCCCAGAACAGTTTACTCTATTCCCACTGTTTCGACTAGCTTGTTTGTCCTTCCAGAGGCCTCTCCCTCTGACTTCTACCTGCCTCCCCACCACCTTAGTCCTCTTGGTCTCTGTGTAATCCATGATTCCAGCCCAGTCAGGGGTCCTCACAGAAGTAAGAAAATCTGCTCAGAGTTGGGTCTCTTATGGAAATACTCTAAGTGGTTTTTTTTCCATATCAGAACCACTGACATTGAACTTAAGACCTCTACCCCAAGATGCCAATAGACCCAGATCCCACCTGGAATGAACAGAAATGACTGCAGACATCACTAGTGGCTCCCTGATAGGCAAAAATGGGGGCCCTCAGAGAACAGTCCCAAGGTTTCTGTTCCTACTGGGATAGTTTCTATCCCTTCTAAGAATATGAACATCATTTTAGACCTTTTCTTGTGTTGTGCATGCGTGCGTGCGTGCGTGCGTGCGTGTGTGTTTGGGATGTTGTGTTTTTGTTTTAGTTTTTGTCTTGGTTTTAGATTTTGGTTTTTTGAGATAGGGTAGCACTGGATGTCCTGGAAATTGCTCTGTAGACCAAGCTGGCCTTGAATTCACAGAGATCTACCTGCTTCTGAGTCCCAAGTACTTGGATTAAACGAGTGCACCACCACCACCACCCTGAAATGCAAATAGGCAAATTTCAAGATGGGGCCACCTAAAAATTCTAGTGGACTAGAAAAACCTCTGTGTTAAGCATGTGAGAAAACACAACCAGCAGCTGTCCTCATGGAGCCTGCATTCCCTGCCTTCCTGCTCATGACTGTGGAGAAAGAATCCCATTCAGGAGAGGATGCCTGTGGAAAGGGCCTTCAGTGTCTCCGTTCATGTTAACCCACTAGAATTTAGCTTCCTCAGATCTCCACTTCAATCCTTTTGAAATAAAGTAGGTGACTAATTGTATTTTTTTACAACTGGATGGGCAGCACCACCATTCTCATGGAGCAGAAACAGCAGAGTCCAGGCTCTATGAATTCCAGGAAAGGGAGAAACTGCTTCCTACAATGAAAAGGGCAGGAATGATGACAAAAGATGGGTTCAGATTTACATATTGCAGGGATGCTTTCCCAAGCTTTAGATAGCCTACAAATCTAGAAAATGATTGCCTTCCGATCTGGGTAGCAGGGCCCTTTCTTCTGGCTTGAAGGATATGGTCTAAGGGCATGCTTGGAGATCCAGGGATAGGGTTACATCACTAGGTCCCCAAGTGACTCCCTGAGCTCATAAGGCAGTGTGTCAGCGAATACATGAAGCACACAGCTGAGGGCCGAAGGCTTGAGGGAGGGCTCAGAGTGATGATGAACAGGGTGAGGCTTGTCATAGGTCTATGTTCCCGCTTTGGGCATAGGGCCTTGAACATGAATCTGAAGCCTCTGCTGCTGCCAGAGTGACCTTGGACATCACACTGCCCCCTTCCTTGTTGTTGAGGGGCATCTACCTTACAGCTTACTATGAAGATGACAGCAGACTGCTGTCACATGCTAAGCGATCAGTGGCATGAACTTTGTCCATGCTATGGCACCTGCAAACCATGCTCACCCCCTGGCAACCCATTCTGAACTTAACTGCTTGGAAGTTCTTGCCCTTAGATGACTTTTGGAAAGAGATGTTGTTAGCTTTTTCTTTTATTTGTTTTCTTTTCATCTTGTGATCATTGCAGAGTCCCTGCAGTGGTGTAAGATTATATCTACCCTCGATCAACTTTCTATTTCCATTTGTGGTAGCAGCTGTGCCAACCAATCACCTGGAAGTGGGAAGGTCAAGTGAGGAATGGCCCCCGTCATACTGGTCTGCAGGGGTTTTCTTGATTAATGATTGACATGGGAGGGCCCATGGCACTCTGGGTCATGACACCTCTTGGCCAGTCGTCCTGAGTTGTACAAGAAAACAGGCTGAGCAAGCCAGTAAGCAGTGTTCCTTCAAGGTCTTCCCCTGCAACTGCTTGAGTTCCTGTTTCAACTTCTATAGAAGATGGACTGATCAAGAAGTATAAATCAAATAAATCCTTTCCTTTCCAAGTTGCTTTTGGCCATGGTGTTCACCATAGCAACAGAAGGCAAACTGGGGCATCATCTTTCAAAGCAACTGGACCAGATCCATGATGGCTAATGATCCTGGGGCAGGAGGGGGCAATATGCATGTATGCGTGTGTGTGCACGCACACACACACCACACACACCACACACTGCGTGGGTTTGTGAAACTCTATGCAGTGTGTTGACACCATCTCATATATGTTAGCATTTTTTAAATTGTTTGTGCATACACAGGGCTTAGCCAACACAAGCCTGATGATTTAGGGAGGTGCTGTCAAAGCTTACTCCTGAGCTAGTAAAAAAAGAAAACATTAAGCCAAGTGAGAAAACAAGATTAAAACCCCTGGGGAATCATTAACTCAGTTAAAGACAAGCTGCTTGCAAAGGCAAATTCACTGAGTGCAGTGGAGAAAATTGACAATCTCGGGTCCTACCTCCCCATCCCAAGGAGCACTACTGCTCTGCTACTGGTTTTGTTTGCAGTGGCAGGAATGAAGCCCGACCTGGCTTTGAGTCCCTACCCTCTTCTATGAACTCCAAGAGTACAGAAGCATCGCTGAGTAGACCTTGCTCTCTCTGGACTGACTCTTTTCCTTCATCCCTCTGCAATTCTCTCTCCCAGTCCCAGCAGCCCCACCTCCAAGCACACCATCCTGGGGAGCTAGTGATGAGAGCTTCCCAGGACAGGACGGGGGAGGAGGGAACACAGGACTCCAGCATTCTCATGCTTCATCACAAATCCAGCCAGGAATCTGACACCAGTGCTCAGTTATCATCCACAGGACCCCTAGCTCCTCCCTGAAAAGGGAGGCCCACTAAAACAGACTATAAAAAGGTGTGGAGGGAAGGAATGGGCACTCTGCAGAGTAAAGAGGAACACAGACAGCTGTAGTGGGCTGACCAGAATGGAGGGCAAGATATACAAGGGAGGTGAAGACTATGAACAAGAGTTCAATCCCCGAGACTACCTGACCACCTACTACAACTTTGACTCGGGCCCGGTGGAAGAGAAGGAAATCATAAAGTTTAGCCTGCAGAACCTCTACCAGACCTTCTCTGCTGGTGAGTGGCTGGGGAGGGACTGGAAAAGTAGCAACATACACACAGAAGCTGCAGCGGTGGCCAGCCTGGCAATGTGTGTGGGGCCAGAGGAGCCATGCCTCAAGGGCTTGCAGCTGTGATCAGCTTCAGTTGCCTCACTTGTAAAATTCTAGGGGTTCCCCCAGACTTATGCAGCTTCTGGGACACTGCTGGGAGACGTGACTAAATGAACATGAGTACCAAAGCTGCTCCACCCTCCTTCTCTGGCACAGACCTTCCAGAGAGCTCTCTAGCATATCTGAAGGGCTCTTAAGAACAGACTGACTTCCTTCTCAAACTTTATCCCAGACCCTGTCACGCTGTTAATATCCCCAGTTTTCCATACGCACTGTTCTTAAAGATAAGCCGATGTCAACTGATTAGCGATCAAGCCTAAATTCATCCAGAAGGCCTGATGTGCCTCCACTGGTATCCTGGGAGGGTTTTAAGAATAATAGGTGTACCCCAGCCCCAGCATGGCTCCCCACTCCAGTCAACCAGAGACAAGAGGCTATTGCCCTTCCCAGATGACACATCCTAATGAGGCTTGGGTGTTCTCCACGTACTCGGCAGGGTGTGGAGTCAGGGTGCCCAGACCTACCCGTGCTGTCTCCACAGGAGGTATAAGGGGCGATGTCCTGATCGACATTGGCTCTGGCCCCACTATCTACCAGCTGCTTTCAGCATGTGAGGCCTTCCGGGAGATCATCGTCACCGACTACACTCCACAGAACCTGCAGGAGCTGCAGAAATGGCTGAAGAAGGAGCCCGGAGCCTATGACTGGTCCTCCATAGTGCAGCATGTATGTGAGCTGGAGGGAGACAGGTAACTGTCCCATGTCTTCCACCCACCTCATGCTTCTCAGACAAGGTCCCTCGGGACAGCACAGAGACCTGCCATCCCCCTCACTTTCCTCCTGGTCTGCCTGAACCTCATGAACGTATAACCCTCCCTTTGGGTCAGTCCAACCTCCAGTCCCAATGCTGCCCCAAACTGTCTGGGCCTGCTCTCCCTTTCTCTGTGCCTGCTCAAACCAGCTGTGACACCAGCTTCTGTGTCACCTCCTCCAGGAAGTCCTCATGACTGCCCCACTTCACACCACTCCCGCTTTGCTCTGGAGACTGGTTCAGTGTCTCCTTCGATGCTGACGGGCATACTTACCATGGAAAAACATGCTGTGAGGTACACTCCACACGTGTCCCCACAGCAGTGTGACAAAGCCGCAGAGACCAATAGCAGTGGCTGTCCGCAGGCCCCGTATCCACTTTGGTTCATGGAGGATAAAAACCCCACCTGGAGCTGCAAGGGTCAGTGATTCTGATCACACGACAGCTGAGGAAATGGATGCCCTGGCTTGGAGGGGGTGTTCTAACCATCCTCAGAGCAGGGTAAAAAACAGGGCAGTAATTCTGCCCCGATCTTGGGACAGAGGGCTGATCTTGTTACAGTCCAGAACAGCCTGTCCTGGGTGTGGCTAGAGGGACACGAATTACAGGGGCTTTAGAGTTCTCCCATCTGGGTATCACTCGCTCTCACTGTGAGTCAAGAGCACACACAGCCAGGAGGAGGGACCCCCATAAAGCTTCTGTGACTTGAGCAGGCAGCTACCATCTTTCTAGGCCGAGACAGGTAGTGTGAGGTGAGAGGCGAGGGTTCAACAGGGACAGGAGAGCAATGTTCTGAGCTAAAGGTGGCCTCTCCCAGGAGCTGGAGCTCCCAAGGAAACAAGGGCCACACCTCAGGAAGACCATACAAGCGGCACAGCCAAGGCTGTAGCCCTGTGTATGAAGAGGACATGGTCAGGCATCAAGGAGGGCCACCAATGCCAATGCCATAAATGGACACCCTCACGGCTGGGATGATGAGACTGACATAATGACACAGCGTGTGCTCATTGTGTGTGTGTGTGTGTGTGAGAGTGCATGTGTGGGTACATGAGTATGTGTGTGGATGTGTGGATGTGGGTTTATGTCTGCATATGTGTGGATATAGCATGAATGTGTGTAGGTGGAAGTACATGTCTATTTGTGTGTAAGTATATGGTTGTGTGCATATGTACGTATATATGTGAATGTATGTATACGTATATATGTGTGCATGAATGTATGTCCAATGCATGTGTGTACAGTGTATGTGTGTACAATGCATTGTGTAGGGGTGTGTGTGTGTGTGTGTGTGTGTGTGTGTGTATGCAAGGTACATGAATGGGCACTCATTCCACAGGGGATATGTGGAGGTCAGAAGACAACCTGTGGGAGTTGGTACTCTTTTCTTTTTGTTTTGTTTTATTTGAGACAGAGTTTCTCTGTGTAGCTTTAAAGCCTGTCCTAGAACTCACTCTGTAGACCAGGCTGGCCTCAAAGTCACAGAAATCCACCTACCTCTGCCTTTGGAGTGCTGGAATTAAAGGCATGCACCACTGCTGCCTGGGTTCTGTCTTTTCAGCCTGTGGGTCCTAGGGATTATGACATTTGACAGTAAGCTCCTATACCAACTTAGTCATCTCGCTAGTTCAGGACCTTTGGAAGAACTATTCCATACAACGAGCTGAGCATAGTGTGAACCCCAGTCAGAGCAGCAAGTCGCAGGGCCACCCCTGGCAGTGACAATAGAGAAATCATGGAGGGGTTTCGGGGATGCTGAAGTCTGTAGCCACTCTGTGGGTCTGGTTAGCCACTGACTAACAGTTTAGATGCAAAGGAAAATGAGGAGCCAAGGGTGACCCTAAGGTTCGTGGCCACAGACGAAGGGAGGAGATAGAGGAGGAGGAGGGCATCTAGGCAGCAGGTGCACCAGGAGCACTGGCTGGAGCTGCTTCTGTGACGATGGCCATGGAGACTCTGGGGAAGCAACAGGGTGTAACTGGGAACTTGGAGGGGGTGGATCACTGGATGGCCAGAAGAGAGGGAGGAGGTTCACGACAGCAGAGATCAGGAGGAGGCTGCCAAGGGAGACAGGAAATTAAATACCATATCATGGGCTCCCCTCCTCCAAGAAGCCAAGGAAAGAACACCTTTGCAAAAGCAGGGAGCCCTAATGGGGGTGAGTCTAAAGCCATTATGCTGAAAGTAAGCCATGCACAGAGGAAGGAGAGCTGCAGGGTTCCATGTGTGTAGCTATCCCAAACTGGCAAATGCAGAGAATGACATCAGATGGGCAATAAGTGACTGCACCCAGCAGTCGCTACTCACTGAGTTCAAGGATCAGGAGTGAGGTGTTGTTCTGCTTGTTTGCATGTTTGTTTGTTTGTTTTTAAGACAGAGTCTTACTGCATAGTCCAGGTTAGCCTTGAATTCATTCATGATCCTCCTGCCTTAGCCTCCCGAGGGCTGGGATACCAGCACCATATTCATCTGAAGCCCAGTAACTCTGTATGGGGTGGAAGGGAAGGGTTACAAAGAGTGATGGCAGTCACCCAGCTTTATAAGGGCAAGAAATGCCACAGATGGATACAAGATGAAAAACAAAACAAAAAGTTAAAAAAACAAAAGGCCATACAAAGCATCACACCCCTTAAAGCCCTGCTCTCAGGACACCAAGACAGGAGAATCATGAGTGTGAGGCCAACCTGAGCTACAGAGTGAGTTCTAGGCAAGTCTGGAACACACAGAGAGACCTTGTCTCCAAAAAGAGCAAGGTTTATTTCAGCTTAAAAAAAAAAAGATGGTGAGACAGCTCGGTCATACAGGGCTTACCTTGCAAACATGAAGATCTGGCTTCAATTCCTAGAACCCACATTTTGTGTTGTGGTTTTTTTGTTTGTTTTGTTTTGTTTTGTTTTGTTTTAAAACAAGATGCGGTGGCTCTGTGCTTATCATTCTAGCACTAAGCAGGCTGAAATACGAGATCCATGGAGCTTGTTGGTCAGCCAACCTAGCCTACTTGCCCAAAGAGATACTCTGTGTGAATAAAAGGAGGAAAAGTAGATAGACAGCTCCTGAGGGATGACCGCTGAAGTTGTACTCTGGCCTCCACACACGTATGTAAACGTTGGCGTGCACAGTTTCACTCACAGGCACCCACACTCATAGGTACGAACAGGATACTAATAACGGAATACACCAAAAAGATTGAAAGAGTGTAAAGACAGAATGGAGAATGGAAGAGGGTCAGCTCAAATACCAAAGCCACCATCGCTGGTGGCTTCGAGCAGCTGTGAGCCCCAGTTTCCATCTGTATGGCCTGTCACTGGGCCGATGAAATAGTGGCGTGGTTGTGGGACCAGAGAAAACCCTAACACCCACAATCGCTATTTTACATAATTACTAGCTTTCATCCTTTATTATATTAGTCCCCGGCAGTCACGTTACCAGGCATAGTCACCACAGTACCTCTCTGATCCTCTCACAGAAGCAGGTGGCAGGAGAAGGAGGCCAAGCTCCGAAGGACAGTCACTCGTGTCCTGAGGTGTGATGTGACCAAGTCACCCGCACTGGGGTCGGCTCAAGTGCCGCTGGCTGACTGTGTGCTGACCTTCCTGGCCATGGAGTGTGCCTGCCTTGATGTGGACACCTACCGGGCAGCCCTGCGCAGACTGGCTGATCTGCTGAAGCCAGGGGGCCACCTGGTTACCTTGGTCACTCTGGGTTTCCAGAACTACATGGTGGGCCCCAAAAAGTTCTCTGGGGTCTACCTGGAGAAGGAGACGGTAGAGAAGGCTGTTCAAGATGCGGGCTGCCAGGTGCTGAAATGCAACTGCACCCCCCTCAGATACTCGAAGGCCTTCTGCACGGGTCTCTGCTTTATAGTTGCCCGCAAGAGCTCCAGTGCCTGAGGCCACTAGCAGAGAAGAGCCTTCCCTGGGGAGGTCATAGCCAGCATTTGTATAGTCCTGCTTCATGTCTTCCTGACACTGGTTATGCTGCTTCTATCTACTAGCTGATCACAAGGTCACAAGGAAAAAACCCAAGCTTCTCTAGTTTCAGACCCAACATCCCTCCCCGCTGCTCCTAACCCTAACCCTAAATAAAGCTAATTAAAATAAAGTGATTTCTCTGGATTTTGTCTTGGGATAGCCTTTCCCAACAGCAGATGAGAATTTAGCTGCCAAACATGCATCTGGGAGCGGATGTTGTAAACACAAATGCAGGCATTTGAAAGAGAGCAGGAGGGAGACAGATGGTGATGGCATGGGCTGCACCAAGCCCATTCCACTGAGGCACCTGGAGCTGGGGCTGGTGTGGGGCCCGAAGAAAGCGTTGTCTACTAAAGAAGTTGGCCATGCTTACCAATTCCCCTCATCATGGCCAGAAGCAGCTGTCAGTACTAAGTAATCAAGAGTACTTGAGTACTCTGCAAGTAGCCTCAACAGACTTGCAGGTGCCAACCACAGTTAATCTGGTCACCGTGCCCAGGATCAGTGAAGAAAATGTGTGCAATCTACTGGCTGGGGTGTTTATTGTTTCTGGGTACCCTGGCCCTCCTGTGGGAGAAATGGAAGACAAGGACCTCAGATTTCATAGCCAGAAGGCATCTTCCCGAGCTGGGTGACTACATATGGGTGTGAGGAAGGGACTCTGCATCTAATGGTTTGATGAGTCACAGCAGAGACACATAGAATCCTGATTCTGGAGGCAGTGGAGCTTCAGGAGTGGACAGCTGAGTCCAGCCAATGGGACAGGGCAGAAGTAGGGCTGATCCATCCAGTCAGGTTAGTCATGACACCCCACTCCTAGTACCGATTTCTGAGCTGGTAGGGCGGAAACCTGAAGGCAGGAAATGAGCAGAAGCATGGAAGAACATTGCTTACTGGCTGGCTCAGCCCGCTTTCCTCTATCATCCTCCCATCATGGGCTGAACTCTTCCGCATAAATCATTAGCCAAGAAAATGCGCCATAGTCTTGCTCATAGGCCAATCTAGTAAAGGCATTTTCTCAATTAAGGCCCCCTCTTTTCAAACGACTCTAGCTTGTGTCAAATGGACAACAGCAACAAAAACAAAAACAGAAATCTAGCCAGGATAACCTTCTGCCAAAGGATCTTACTACACAGTGCTTTTCTTCTCTCTAATCCATTCTCCACTTCTGAGCACTTAACAGAAAGGGCAAGTGATGAGGGAGAGCCAACAGCCACAGCCTGGGGAGGGGCAGCCTCCACTGCCATTAAAGCCAGTGCTTTCTTAAATGTTTGCATTGTGTTTGTGAAGTGACCCTGAGCCTTGGGTCAGAGGGCAGTAGCAAGGGAGCCCTCCCACCAGCTTCAAAGACAAACTGAGTTTCATCCCTGTCCCTGCTGTAGAGCTACAGCAATGTGAGGCAGCAATGATTCCATTTGGCCACGAGAGGGCAGAGCATCCTCAGAACTCAGGCACTCAAAAGAGATGTTTGTTTGCTCCAACTATTTTACATTCTGTGAGTTTCTTTCCCCTGGCCCCTCAGGGCTTGGGGTGGGAGAAGAAAACCTGCCAGAAGACCCTTCTACAAGCAAGGCCTCTGACACCAGGACTCCTTGTCTATGCAATCCCAGATCCTGCAGCTCCGCTGTGCCTGGAGGTGGTAGGAGAGGAAGCTGAGGCATGTGTTGGGGCAAGTCTGACAGGGTTGGAAGTACGGGACGGAGTATCTTGAGTTAGGTAGCGTCAAGCAGGAGGTTTGGGACCCATATCTTGGTGTCTGCACTTGTCATTGACAGCCTACCAGTAGCCCGGGCCTCTTATCCCATCCAGTCTGCTGGAAACTAAATGAAAGAGGAAGCATGCCAGAACCACTAAGTGCAACTCAGGCAGGAGAGTCTGAGAGTCCAGTGAACAGGTTTGCTAACACTGAGCATCCTGGTACATTTTAGAAAATGCGGAAGCCCGGGCCCCACTGAGTTCTCCAGATATAACCTTTGGAGTACAGACCAGCAGGAAACCTTTTTCAGTCTTCTAGGGACAGCAGGAATGAGGAAGAGGTAGCCCCTTCCCAAGTACTTGGTGATGCTGGGCAACTCCAGGTGAGGTGCTAAACTCTCTGTCTACTCTCAGGGTGTCTTGGTTTGATTTCTATTGTTGCAATAAGATGCTAGGACCAAAAGCAACTTGGGAAGGAAAGGGTTTATTACAGCTTACAACAGTCCATCATGAAGGCAAGTCAGTCTTGGAAGTCAAAGCAGAAACCTGGGAGCCATGGAGGGGTGCTGCTAACTGGCTTGCGCCATTGGCTTGCTCATCCTGCTTTGTTATAGAACCCAGGACCACCAGTCCAGGTGTTATAGAACCCAGGACACATAGTGGGCAGAGACCTCCCACATCAATCATTAGTCAAGAAAATGCCCCATAGGTTTCCCTGTAGGTCAACCTGGTGGGGACATTTTCTCAAGTGAAGTTCCTTCTTCTCAAGTGACTCTAGCTTTTGTTAAGTTGATAAACACTAACCAGCACCCAGGGACCCAGCTCCAACTTAGTGGGGAAGAGCGTGCTCCCTGGGGCTCAGATCACATGTGTCACTGAGGTTTGAGCAAAGGACATGGGGAAGATAAACCCAGAATCCTTCCCTAGCTGTAAGGGCCAAAGCATCTGCCCAAAAGCTTTCTCATCAGCAACCACTCCCTGACCAGAACAAGATTCAAGTTTTTTTAAGGGACACTAGGCCCTAAGTTAAGAATCATTTCTGGGTTGGTTGGTGAGGGCTTGGCGCAAGGAAGGACGGTGCTAAATGGAACCTTCAGAAGCAAAGCTGCCTAGGGCAGCTGGGGAAGGCAGTTTCTGAAAAAGAACACCCCCCCACACACACACACACACAAATTACCATGAGGTATGCAATCAGAAGATGAGCTGCTTCCTGCCTGGATGAAGATGAGGGCTCCTTCAGACCAGCATTCAATGGGCACTGGTCCAAATATCCTTTCTGGGCCTTTCTGGGCCTTTCTGGGTCTTTCTGGGATCTAAAGCCCAGGATCCCTGTGTTGGGAAAAGGAGTGTAATGGTACAGTGGTGGGCTGCTCCCAGAAAGAGGAAAAGGAACCTGCTCACTGCAAGAGTCTAAGAGAATCCTAGTGACTGCTGGGAGCTGGGATCAATTGTCATTGGCTAATCGGGATGTCAAAGGCTTGGAAAGGGGACTGTGGTCGAAGGCAGGAGGGGTGGGTAGGCTGCTGTGCAGTGACCCTCTGGATTCCAGAGCTGTCGGCTGAGACTGGGCACAGTGCAGAGGGTCTAGAGAATCAGAATTGGATGAAGTAGAGACTACAAGACCCTCATGCCTCTTAGATGGTGGGTAGATGAGAGCCAGGAGCCAAGGAAGGTAACCTTGTGCAGGTGCACCCCATTAGGAGGAGGAGACAATTTTAGGCAGCTGGAGTCTGAGCCTAGGTAGGCAAATAAAAGGTATGTGCAGTGCCCAGGACGGGTAGGGGCCTCCTAGGGTGGGTGCCACCCGAAAAAACTTGCGATGGCCCCTGCTGCCACAGTCAGCCCACTGAACCTGCATAGGCTGCAAGGGCTCTTCAAACAGAGCAAGCCCCTCCTGTAATTAAGAGAGAACGCTATGCTCCCCACTGTTGTTAGGCTGGGAACTGTCTTCCCTGTCTGTTGGAAAGAAAGATGTGCTTTCTAGTTTCTAATAACTTTGGGATGAGAGAGAGGTGTAAGTGGTGTGTTTTGCTGGCAGCACCGCAGTATTCAGCCTCATCCCGACAATAAATTGCCTCGTCTGTTTAGATGTCGGAAGGCATGGCTTTCCTTCAAAACCCCAGATGAGTGGGGCAACAAGGAAGGAGAAAACACTTCTGTAGGCTGTCAGAGAGTCGTGGGCAGCCAGATGGATCCCACACAGACAGACCCATGGAAGGGAGGGCGGGCAGGTGTGCTGGGAATCCAAATGTCTTTGGAAGGAAGGAATTGCAGCCAGAGCCCTATACTCAGCAGTGCCAGGAACAAGCAGGGAAAGCAGAGGTTAGGAGGGCAGATGCAGTGACAGATCCTCCAGCAATGGGGAGGCTGGGGTTCTAGAACCGGACTTCCCCAGCTGAGAAATCCCAGGTGTACACACTTGCCTTGGGTGTGTGGTAAAGAAAGATGTTACATAGTTTTCTTCTCCCAGGCTCTTGGCTCTTCTGTGCCCAAGGGTGTGTCTTGATTTTCATGTCTAGACTCTGGGTGGGAAAGAAGAACTGCAGGCATCTGGGGCGTGGACCAGGACCCAGTAATGATGCAAAAGTTGGGAAGGCTAGGAACCCAGGGCTTCTGCACAGTGGCAAGCTAAACCTGAGTGCATCTTGGCTTAGTTTCCCAAGCTCTACCAAGGAAAGAAAATATGCAATTGTACTAAATAAAGAATCTGGGCTTCTCGAGAAATAAACGGCAGGAGGAGGCAGGATGCCCCCTCCTTTAAGCTGGCCTACTTCCCATTGGCTTCGTTTTGCTTCTTCTGGCTCCTTTTGGAACTGGGTCTCTGCTTCTTGACCGTAAACCTCTCTGTTTTCTTTCACTTTGGCTTCGTTTTGCTTCTTCTGGCTCCTTTTGGAACTGGGTCTCTGCTTCTTGACTGTAAACCTCTCTGTTTTCTTTCACTGTGTAGACTCACTATACACGTTACTATGTTCTATAAGGCATTTTCACGCATGCCTATTATACAGTGAGCATAGTCCCCATTCTGGGCCCTCCTTTCTCATTCATTCGCTTGCTCCCCTAAACAGTTTCCTTTCTACCTTCATACATGATTTTTATGTTCTGATTGAAGCCTAGAGACTAAACATGTTCTAAGTATCTGTTAATATGATAAACATTCTGAAATGAAGTAACTGGGTACAATAAGGCTGTGTTTGGCTCATACATGCTGATCACAGTCAGTCATTGAGGAAAATCAGAACAGGGATTCAAGCAGGAGCAGAGGCAGGAACTTGGTCAGCTACCTTTCTTATACAGGCCTGGTCTGTCTGCCTAGGGATGGTACTGCCCATGGTGGGCTGCTCTCCGTAGCATTCAACTGTCAAAATAGTGTTCCACAAATACAATCACAGGCTAATCTGATGGAGTATCAAGTAAGAAAAGCTAATCAGCATAGCATA